TTACTTTTCGTCATGTGTAATGTACTCGTAAGCACTTTTTGAATTGAAATCTGCGGTTCAATAAATGCCAAAGTACAAAAATTTATCCGCGTTTCGCTTGCGATGAAGCTGACAGATCTCCTGCGATGGCTGTATGCAGGCTCATCGAATGGAAGGGGGAAAAGGGTAAATAACCGGGCCCGGGCTTTTGCGGTTTTTGTCACACGGTAGCTCTTAACATCGACCTGGCAGCACCCCTATATGTCAATTGTTCTATCGGAAATGTTATCGATATATCGACAGCGCAGCCAGCCACCATGCAAGACGGACGGACGGTCGTGAGCAGAGCGCTGGCGAAACAACAACAAATGCGCTATGACACACACGACAGACACAGATAAAAATGAAAACGACGAACGTCGACGGCAACGACGATTGACGGTCGACTGTCGACACGACGGTGAACCAAGTGAAATAAATCGCTAAATTCCTGCGGCAGAAATAAAGCTTGTCAAAAATTCATAGCAAATTTTTATTTTGGTTATAATTTACAACGAACAAAAATGGTAAGTGTGCGTGTAGATAGAATCTCACTAAAATCTATAGCTAGCCAGGGCTACAATAGCCAATTGATAGCTCGTTCGGTACCTGTCGCTAGATAGGTAGGTGTCTATGTGAAAAGACGGAAAGATTTTATGATATGCAAATAAAAAAATAATGCAAGTTGAACAATCTGTATGGCTCATATGCAGCGGAGCCCTAAGTTTCAAATGGAAGCATGGAACTGCAGTTCTGGGCGCACTTCTATATTGCCAACATCTAAAATACATACATATGGGTATGTGCATACACAGTGCATACATACATAAGTGGCACGTTGAGTTTGGGAACAGTGAGAAATTTGCCGGGTGACGTCTGGCAACTGAAACGAACCGCTCCTGAGCTATCTCTGTCGATTTGCTAGTGAAATGTTTAGTTATATGTACAACGACTTTTTTGGTGGGTGGCAGAGGGGCAGGAGACGTGGCCCCCAAACCCGCTCTAAACGAAAGAGGATGGACCGCGCTTTAATAAAAGTCACCCCTTCTCCCTTCACCACTCACAGACCACTTGGAAGCTGATTGAAAATAGGGAAAATCGGATTTTTTCAAAAAGGATAACATATAACCTTCACTAAGTAGAATTCTCCTTTCTGTGTTGCTGAAGAAGAGGGCTGAACACCTTTTGCAGAGCACACTTTCTGCGTAGGCGGCTCTCGGCCGCTCTTAGGGATTATATTCCCCTTCTGTCTTGACGAAGAATTGGGGCTGGCCACCTTTTGTAGATATATTTCGTGGATATTTTTTGTGTTTGACAGCTCAGCTCGGAAATTTGCAAAAAATGCCATATTTCAAACCGGAATTATTAATAAATTATGTAGTGCACAGATATAGTAAATTAGTATTTTTTAAACAAAGCGTTAACTCTTGTCTACAAGTGTGTGTACAAGTTTTCTGATTCGGGTCACGCGTTTGGGCCCAGCGACCCAAAATCGTTGTACAAATAACTAATTCATACCCATTTGCTATTTTGTGTACCTACTGCATACGTACAATCTACGCTGCCCCTTGGGCTAAACTCTGATATGGTGTGGTATTTTAAGTTTGTGCGCATAGATTTACATTCTGTAAATACGATAATTACTTTGTATTGATATTCAAAGAAGTATTTTCGTGTGAAATATCCAGTTCTCGCCTTTTTTCGTTTCTTAACTTCAAGGTTTTCAATATTTTATTCAAGGATCGTGTAACGAAACCGCAAAAGAAGATGCTCATTACACTCCTGCGTGAAACCAAATATATGGAGGGGAAAAAGGAGAAGGAATGGTATTGGGAGAAGATACAGGCGGCGCTAAATACAATCGGACCAAAGAAGACCATAATACAGTGGAAGAAGGTAGGTGACGGTAGCATTTGATGGTGATGGTAATGGCGATAACAATATTCTATTAGGTATGAAAAAAAATCTATTAAAACATTAAATTGGGATAAATCAGTAATTTGCTACGGATTTTACAAAAATTCGAAAGTAGTAATTGCCTATAGGGTGATAGTATGAAACTTTGTTAACACTTTAATTCCCTTGCCGCCAATCTGACCGTTTTCTATTTTTCATACACACAGTGCTGGCGGGATATGCGTTTGACTACGCGTAAGAAACTTGCCGAGCTGAAACGTTGCCAATTGGCAGGAGGTTCCCCGCCTCCGGGAATTGAGCTAAACCAAGAGGATAACGACATTATCGATATTGTTGGCACCGAATATTTCTATGAGGAAATGAATGGCGAATTAAAACCGGAGAACTTCATGTCTGGCTTCGATTATG